CTCAAGAATTTGTAATTTATAGACTGAGAGCTGGCTGTACCCCTGCCTCGGGTGATGCAGGGGAGCAGCTCCTCCAAGAATGGTTGCTGGCTACTGCCAGAGGAAATCTTTGGAGCTGTCTAAATGGGGAAAAAAGCTGCCTTAAGGTCAACTTAGTCAGCTTGTCTTGATTGAAGTCCCTGTTATCTCTGCAACCACAGCTGAGATCATTTGACCAGGTCAGGCTGTAACCATGACCACTTCAAATGCTCCCTGGCCAGTAGCAGCAGCAGCTTGCAGAAAGGTGTTGCTGGCAGCATGACCATTAGAAAGGTTAAACCTTCCTCCCCCTCACTCCGACACTTACTGCTCACAGGGACTCAAAATGAAGTATGTACAAGTGAGAGAGCTGTTCAGCTCCTGCTTTGGAGACCAGTGGCAGCATTACATTCAGCCTGAGCAAAAGAAATTGAGGACTGCTGTCCATGTCAGTGTTCTGTTATTGGGTTGATTTGATTGAGGGAGGGAAAAAAACTCCAAGTACCCTTTTTGTGTATAGTGACGTGACCTTAAAACCTGTTGTAAGCTCTATTTTCAGAATATTTCATGATTTTCCAATGAACTTATTTCTTGACCAATTCAGTCCAGCTTTGAACAATTTGGTCCAACAGATTTTACTCTTGCACACCGAAAAGAGCAAAATCCTTTCTCTGTACCTTTGCAATAGCTTACCCGTCATTAAAAATTTAGAAAGTTTCACAGAATTCAAGGTTTCCGGTGGTAGTCATCAACAGTCATGGAGGATTTGGCCTAAAGAGAATGCTCCTGAACAGTAAGGGATGGAAACAGGACCCAGTCATACAAAGTGGTCTTGTATGACTTGTGGTTTGTCTTTGGGCCCAGGCTATGGTAAAAGCAAGCAGACTTTCCAGGTAAAAGAGGAACAGAAACTTTTGAGGAATGACACAAAGCTAGTGTAGGTGTATTTCAGGTTTTTGGGGGTTTAACCCATTTATCCCCTTAATTCCTGAATTAACACGCAATGCAAATCTCCTTGTTATTACACAAACCCTAGTCTACACAAAGATGAGCAAGACCCAAGGACAGTCCCCAGTACAGAAATGTTGAAATCTAAAAGCAGAATTAGAGAACTTGAGACTCATCAGAAAACCAAAGGAAAGACCAAAATGGATTTCAATATATTTATTTTAAAGATTACTTCCCATTGTCCTTATAATTTTAAAAGATCTTTTGGGGATCTGATAGTGTAGAGGTATGGCCTTGGAGAAGTTTACCTAGTTGTATATTAATACAACATGACTTTCACATTTGGCATGCTACTAGGACAAACCTTGCTGTGAAAGTGCTCCTAATATCAGCACATCGCATGTTTAATCCCAACTATCAGTTTATTTTCTAATTACAGTTTAAAAGAAGAGCAGATTTGATTTTGTGAAGCAACGAATTATATCATAATATATAGCTTGCCCTAGAGACAGCATACATAGAATGTGTATGACAGGCATAATACACACAACTAAGAAGACTACGTGTCAGATTAGTGACCAGAGGTCATGAAAAAGCAGAGGGATAAAACAAAAGTTGTAAATGTTTGATCACTTTTGAATTAATTTGATCATCATAACCTTTTTGTATTATTTTTTTTTTTTTTTTGGTGCAAATCAGACTGTGCAAATATAATTAGAACAACTGCCCAAGAAAAACATGAACAATAAATGATAAAATACAGACTCAAAAGATACTCTAATATTGAATTTCCATTATGAAATTCTGAGATTAGTGACAATTAAACAAGCTCTTCTGCCAAGGAAGGACAAAAAAAATACTTGTGTGCTTAAGTACCAGAATGTGAATTGCAAAACATACAACAAAACCTCTATCCAAGCAAAGAATTTTGTGCAGACTTATATACTAGTAGTAAATAAATGAAAAAGAACACCCTCTCAAGAGATGCTTAGGACAGAACATATTAAGCTCCTTCCTCTCTCCTCCTCCTCTACTATCCTCTGTCTTCACTACAGCCTCCATGAGCAAAATGAACTTTTCTCATCCTCATACCATTACCTTCACCTCTAATGGTCTTCTGTACACTAGAAAGTATTTTTATTTCTCCACTACAGACTTCTCTGTTGGTTTGGAGTGTATATGCCTGATCTTTCATTGCTTTGATGATAAAAGCCCCACTATAGCATTTTGCTGTGGCTGAAACTGTGCTTTTAGCAGTGTCATATTTTCTCTCTTGTAAATGGCTTTGCTTTCAAATTGCCACTCAGGCTTGTGGCCACCACCATCCCAGGCACACTTTGGCAGCACAAACAACAGTAAAGTGCTGCTTGTACAGACACCAACTGTGGGTTTACCAGCAATAATGGCATTAGAATAATTTTACTCAGTAGTGTGAACACAACATTTGTTGCCAGCTTAAGCAATTTTTTCTCAATCTGCCTGAAGAATAGTGCCTTTTAGGGTAACTATACTGCATTCTGGGTTGATATGCCATGGTGCATTCTTCTACTAAAATTTAAGATAGATATTGAAACACTGAGATTAGCCAAAGTAACAAAACTTCCTGATTTATTTTTTTAGTATCCATTAATTTATCTGATTATTTGTAATTCAATACAATTTAAAAAAAATCTTTCAAGCTTATACATATAGCATTGCTATGTTATCAATTACACATATGCATAGCTGCTCCAGGAAACTAGCAACTAGATAGCAACATGTCTACAGAGAACTTGAGAATGCCTCCAGAATCATCACTGGGATGACACACTTGTACTACTAAAAGAGGAGAAAGCAGTTACTTATCTTCAACATATCTGCTAGTTTTCTCTGTAGCCTTAAGTCCCTCTTGCTGCTCCCATTTGCTCAGGATCTCAGAAGGGTATACCCCATCCCAGGGCATGAAACTTAGTATTCTCTTCTGTAACTTTCTTCCTACAGTTATTCTGTAATACCTTCCCTATTCTCAAATTAGTTGATAAAAGAGTCACAATTTCACAACTGGAACCGATTTTGAAACATAGCTATTATCTTCTGGAGTCATAAAATGGGCCAGTTATCAGAACCAAAACCAGAACATCAGGCTTAGGTCACTGTTTTGGCCTACACTGTATTCAAAGGACAGTTTTCTGTCAGTCTGGACTGGTGACTGTCCCCTGATTGCTTAGCTAAGATAAGTCATGCATGGTGAGCATGAGGAAGGAGGCACAGACAACAGCCTGAGCACACAGGGCAACTGATGTACTTTTCATCTTCTGAACAAAGGAGAGGTTGCTGGACAGTGACGTTTTAAAACTACGTTCCATTTTTACTTCTCTTTTCCAACTTTCCTTTATCTTTAAAGGACAGAACGCAAAGGCTTTACACTTTTGCTTTCAACCTTTTATCATGTTTGAAATTTACTCTCCTTGAAACTGCTTTGCTGTTAACTTAGAGGGAAGGTCCACGTGGCTGCAGCTGGGCTGCTTCTGGTACATTGGTGGCTGGACTCCTTCACAGCTGCCCAGGCTTCTCTACATTGCACAGTTACCTGCCCCGCAGGCATTTCGCTCATGGGGCTGGGAATAAAACCCGCGTCTCCTGAGCACCTCTATGTTCCAGATGAGCTCTGCTAAATGAAGATGCATGACAGTTTTTGTGTTTTTCAAATGGATAATAAATGATGTTATAAGGTCACAAATATCAGAGGCATCTCTGAGCTTAACAGATGCAAAATTCAATACACCAATTAATTTTGAAGTTAAAATGTTAATAATGGTTTCATAGCCTAAGTAATGAATATGAATTTTCTCCCCGAAACTGATGACATTTCCTGAATCAAAAATGCTAGGACTTTGCTCTCTATCCAAGCATAATGTTCTCTTGCTTCATTTAAGGTTTTGGAAATTGAAGTTACTGGGGCCATTCATGTGCAGCTGTCACTTCCGTGAGTAACCTTGGATTTATTAAAATTCTTTGTTCTATTACTAAAGACAGCAAAATTTTCCCATTTCAACGAATGTCTCACTTGGTTTATCACTATAGACAAGTAAGACATTCCTGGAATGTGAAAAATCTTAAAACAGTTTCAAAAAGGTGTGTTTCATTACCTAGAATAGAGCAGACCGTTTTACCTGCAAGAAATCCTGAACTACCTGATTGATTCTATTATAATAATAGCTACAAGGCAACGTTATTGATGCAGTATAAATGGTTATTTTTTTCAAAACAGCTTTCTCATGTTTACCCCAACAATACTACTGAGTTAAGAGCTTACTCCACTTAAAGGTGCAATATTTGGTGTACTGTACAGCAAAATACAAAGTAAAACAATTAATATGAGATAAATCCTTTCTATGTATTAATGTTGAGATAAGAAGATTAAGAATTATTCAAAACTTAGATATGTGAATATAAACTAACTTACATGATGTTCATGTAAAAAAGCAAAGATGAACAACTGAAATTCCTTTTTAGGGATCATTAAAGAACAGAACTTTCCTTAACCATCTCTAAACTTTGCTTGAACTGCAAAAGATTGTAAACATGCATACGTAATACACCTTTCAAGCCTTCATACTTACATTATTGAAATTATATATAATCTGTAAGGTTGGCACTGTATCTTTGGAAAGTTCAACAGCAACATATACATCCACATTTTCACTAGCTTATTGCTAAATCAAGAAAACATTTATAGACTTACTTCCTTTAAAAGCAGTCCTACTGAAAGAGAGCATTAAACTGTATATTAGATATATATGAGAAAAAAAATAAATCACAAAACCACATGGGTTCATTTTGAAAACTCTGTTGTTCTACTGATTTTGCTAAATCAATAAACTAATGTCACACAATCCATTTGCCTGCACACAGTCAAACCCTTCTTTCACTTATGTGCTCCTTACATACAAGTGAAACCGAGTATCAACATTGAAGCAGGAACCATGTCTGAATAACATCACATAGAAATAATTTAAAGGCATTTTCTAAATTACCAGAATAATGACAGTAAGTCAGACTTGTTGACGCATTTTATTGTGAGATGGGGAGTCTGGTAAAAAACTAGAAAATGACCATGATGTAACAAGGAACTTAAAAATGAAGTTTCAGATTTGTAACATACATACATGAATACAGGAACAAATTGGCACAAAAATGTTAAACATTGTTCCCAACACTGTTTATAAGATTATTCTAATTTGGCTTACTAAGGAAATGAGAGTTTTATGGTTAGACTAATCTCTTAATAAAACTGCAGAGCATCATGCTATTAGTCACACAGTGAATTTCAAAATTTAAGAGCTTTATATTAAAAACTGGGTAAAGGTAAAATGAATTGATTGCAATTGTAAAATTAATACATTCCCATTTTAATTCTTCTGTTCTACAGTCCAAGGCAAGTATAAATGTTAACATAACACTGTTAAATCAAATCTCAATGCAAGAGAACCGATTGCATCTCTACTTTAAATCTTATCAACTTTCCAAATTTTCATACTAAAATATATTATTGTATTAATACAAACTACAGTATTATACACTACACTGTGTAATAAATAAAGAAATATAAAAATAAGACACATAAATATAAAAGTTTTCTAAAACTAAAAAGGTACATATGTCAGTAAGAAGGGTATTAATACTGCCAGGTTTGAAGACATACAGTACAAAATGTTGCACAGATCTATAAACTAAAAGAAATAAAATAATACTGATAGGTAAAAATCAGCTAACATTGTTAATAAATGGGGTCCATAATAACTAACATTTGAAAATACTTATGAGCCAGATAACATGTCATGTATGTGTCTGAAATTAAAGTAAACCAATAAAGCAATAAAGCAGATTAGAAAATTTCCCTTGTAATTATTGTAGAGAAATTCTGCAAGTCAGGTATTAACCCAAAATACCACCAAATAATTAAATAATGAAATATACCAGTGTTCTTACTTCTCTGATGGCTAAGTGTTTTTTTCCCCATGATTCGCTTTTAAGTTTGATACAAATCAACAAATGCTAGTTATTGTAGGCCACACATTGGATAAAGGCTGCTTAAAGCCTTTATAATACTGATAAATGGCACTTACAGCACACAGGTCTTGCATAAGGCCAAAGGAGATACAAAGCTTCATATCATATCCTTCATATTGTAACTACATACTCAAAACACAATTACAAACACTGATTTTGACGACTTTGCTGTCCTTACCAGTATTAACACTGTTAGTCCCTGCAATCAGAACTCAACAACAATCTTTTCAACTACATTTTTAATCACATGAGTAAGAAACTTCAGTTCTTCTATCATCTGCTTTCTTAAGGCTAACAATACACTTTAAATGATAATATGCTCTACTACAACATCTAATGTCATAAACCGCTACCTTCTAGGTTGAATTTACAAAGGTAGCCAAGTACTGTTTGCAACTGCATTACAGGTTTCTGCAAAAGGGAATTTTGTAGTGCAGAAGTTCTCACATTTTAAAACATAAGAAAATACTGAATTGGATTTAGGAAATGTTTTACCATTAAAAAAAAAAAAAATCATATAAATCTCTCCCAATTGTACAGCTTAAAAATTAATCAACTGAAGAATGAAAATTAATACTGATAAAACAAACAATGCCAGATGCTTGTCTAATAAATCAGGTTTCCTACAACCTGTTAAATCTTTGCTTCCAGAGTCACTGTATTTTTCTAATCTGCTTCATGTTATAAACTTGTTCCTAACTTTGAAAACTGTGTGAAAAATTACTAAGTTTGAGGTTCAGGCACACCTGGATTTATTTTTTTTTTCTTTTTCTTTTTTTTACATATATATTTTTTTACACAGTAGTGAACAGAAATCACAGTATGCAGGCTACTGCGTTTCCATGAAAAGCATGTATAATATAGAACGAACTTCATTACCAATTTTTTTTTCCTTATAGAAAAAACTATCATTTAAGCTTTATTTGTTTTTTTCTTCTGACACCTGCCCATTATTCTGTATAACTTCTGGTTCTGCATTGCTTGCTTGATTAACAGCTTCATCATTCTTGTTACCTTCAGTTTTCTCTTCTTCTTCTTCTTCTTCTTCTTCATCTTCTCCTTCTTCTCCTTCTTCTTCATCCTCCACTTCTTGTAGTTTCCTACATTCTTTTTCTTCCTGCAGTCCTTCTATCTCTTTTTCTTCCTCCTCCTCTTCCTCTTTTTCACTGTCTTCCTCTTCTTCCCTGGTTAGACTCTCTCTCTCATCTGAGTCGATCTGTGATGGAGATGCCCTGGCACCAGCATGCTCATTATTGAGGACTTCCTGGCCTGTCTCCTCCTGTTCCGTGCTGTCACGCTCTTCTGCCTCTCTTTTGCAATAGGAGTAGCGATGATTCATGTGCTGAGAGTAAGACCCCGAGTGTGAAAACCGCTTTCCACATTTGTCACATTGGTAGGGTTTTTCCCCAGAATGCAGTCGCATGTGTTCGATCAAATGGTGTTTGTGTTTAAATGCTTTTTTACAGATTCCACACTCATGAGGTCTTTTACCTACAAAATAAAGCACAATTGGACATCATGCAGCTGAAGTTTTAAAAATTTATACTGTTGTTTTCATCATGAAATGCTGTTGGTGAATGTATTACCAAGAATTAATACTTTTATTTAGCAAGATGTTCTACTCCACATTATCAGCCTGAGTTTCTCACCCGAGCCCAAACGATGAGGGTGCAAGGGTACATTGCCACAGTTACAAGGTTAATTTTGTAAGTTTTTTATGAAAACTGAACACAGAAGGACAAACAGATTATCAGATGTAACTTTTAACACAAAAAAGTGCAAACATAAGTAAATTATAAAAGGAGACATTTTTCTTGCAGTAAACATTACTTTGACTCAAAACCATTTTAACTTTTATATATTGATGGAAATTTTACATCAGCTAAGCTTTTACATTGGTTTTCGTGTACCAAGTCCTTCTTCCATGTTATAGGTAAAGGGAAAATAATCTGAAATCTAGGTTGGCACGGGTAAACGCCTTACATACAAAACTTGCTGACTATACATATATTAACAAGAAAAATCTGCTTTGTTTCACTTAGTTCTCTTTCTGCTCTGTTTTCCAGGTTTCTACTCTGTTGCCTTGTTTTTAGAGTCTCTTTCAACAAAGTTGTTATGCAAAACAACTTCGTGAAGTCTTAGCCCAGACACAGAAGTCAGAGACAATAAGACAGCAGTTTTTTGGTCACACTGCACTGATGATCAACACCTCCATGTCAACTTATGCCAAACAAAGAGGTGGGTGTTGGTGCCTCTTCCCAAGTCACAAGCGATAGAAAGAGAGGAAACAGCCTCAGTTTGTGCCAGGGGAGGTTTAGATTGGATATTAGGAGAAATTTCTTCACTGAAAGGGTTGTCAGGCATTGGAACAGCTGCACAGGGAAGTGGTGGAGTCACCATCCCTAAGGGTGTTTAAAAGACATGTAGACATGGCACTTACGGACACGGTTTAGTGGTGGACTTGGCTGTGCTAGATTAATGGTTGGACTTGATGATCTTAAAGGTCTTTTCCAGCCTAAATAATTCTGTGATTATGAACAATGCACTTAATTTAAAAGTAGAATGGAAAGAACAATTACATTATTAAAAGGAGGAGTTAAAAGAGTTTCAGGACTGGAAAGTTATGAAAATAGTCTTAATGAATTCATCTTGAGAAACTTGATTGAGTAAAGAAAAAAGGGATTTTTTAATCTTTTTAATTCTATATGTGAGATGCAATTAAAACATTAATATAGGCACCTAAACAATAAAGATTTTTTTTTTAAGACATTACAGTAGAAGTAAGAGAGCAACAGTTATTAAAATAAAGACTAAAGATACCAGAAACTGAAGCCAAAAGGGACAACTATGACAAATTAAAAATAAAAAATAGAGCCAAAAGGGTGTTTTTTTGGCGTTAGATTTCATGTCTAATGAATGGCTGTTAGCTTCAGATAATTATAAAGGTGTCTCAATTTGAAAATCCTTCAGGCTAGATAGAAACACTGACTTTCATGTGAAGTATCATACACATACATAATCCTTTTTTCTTAATTTCGAATTTTAATTTTAAATTGTTCTTAATTTATAGTCAGGCAAGTTAAATTAGAAGTAATACATCCTTGATTACAGGCTGTGGCTTGCAGATGATTGTCCATGATCCAGATGGAAGAAACTCCCCTTTTTCTACTCAGGGTTTAGGTCTTACAGATTTAAAGAAACACAGAATTGCAGTTCTGTCAAACAAAAATACAAAACACATTTCTAAAGAAAGCTGAGCATAGGTGATAAGAAGGACTATTACACTTCCCTACACTTTCTGAGAACTGGATTCCAGTTATCAGTTACATACTAGCAATGAAATAATAATCTGAAACTGCTTTTCCTAGTACATACCTGTGTGCTCATACTTATGTCTCAATAATGAGCTGCTCTTCTGGAATATTTTATCACATAAATCACATGCATACATCCCATTTTCTGTCTTTCTCATCTTTTTCTTTGGGGGTGTTGAATCAGAATCATTTTGATCTTCTACATTTGATACTCCTTCTGAGCTAGTGTCTTGCCTTTCATCCTTAAGAAAAAAATATGAAAATGAAAAAAGGTTGAGTTCAACAGAAAAAAAAATGCACTGATGCAGCATACAATTTATAAAGTGTAAGCTGAAGCTGCACTGTTATTCAATTCTGTAAACAGCCAAACGAAGTTGTTTGGACTTATATAGTCAGAAAAATCTTTGGCTGCATCACTCTGCTTTGCAGTCCCTGCCACCATAGAGATGCATAATTCTCACTGGGACTGACTTTAATCACTTCAAAGTCTGACTGTTGGCGAGGTCTAAGCTACACTGACACATCATGTTTTAGGGCCCCTAAAATAAATGAAATGTTAGGAGGGAAAAGAAGATTACAGACCTATAAAGTACCTCAGTAAGTTGGAAGAGCAAATTTGTTATCTAACTGCATTTTTCAACTAGTGTTTGTCACACACATTTTGCTACCATGCGGATTTTATGGAAGTTAGGACTGTATTTTTTTCATGAATTTTTCACAAAAAGCTATTTAAGTTACCAATTGAATTTGCATATTTGACTACCCCCTTCCTCATAAAATTACCACAAATACTACTTAACCTAAAATTTTGGTGATTTCAAATGTTTCATTAATAAAGTTTTAAAAATATCATATCTGTTGTCTGTTTCTAAGCATTTCAAGTGCTGAAGCTCACCTGTAAGAAGCAAAGTATTTTTTACTGATATCAGCAGTATCACTACACACAGAATTAATTTTATCATACATTACTAAATCTGAATATAAAAAAGTACAAGTTAGCTATCTCAAATGTTGTATGTCTCATTAACATTAAGCAACCGTGTAAGTCTTCAAGGCTCCTCAGTCTCTGGCAATACAGAGGCCTGCATAAAATGCTAAACAGCCAATTTCTAAGATTTAATTAGAAATGTTCAGTCTTTACACAAGCCACTTTTCTGTTCTGCTCTGTCATGCACAGGTGTTTTGCAGGAGGCCTGACTGATTAGATCACATCTGGATGTACCCATGGAGGAACACAGCAGGATACAGGAATGGCAGATGAAGAAGACAAATACCTGCCTGACTTCCAATTGAGAAAACATCTGAATTTCGTTTAAAGTGCCATTATGGCGTAGGACGAATTCAGCTACTCTCCAAGAAAGCAGAGCAGTGTGAAGGGAGTAGCCAAAAGTTTCAAATAGTTTATTTTCTGGATGTGGGGAAAGATACAGAGCCAGAAAGAAACACAAATGGTGGCCTTACTTTTCTTTTTGATCAGGAGAATTAGACTGTCTTTAAAATAATGAGCAGCAATGTCCTAGAAGACACTTCTGAATGACTGAATATGGTGAAGAACTGACTTGTCCACACACAGAACTATATAGTTTCTGTCCGTCTGGACTCAGGCTGCCTGAGCTAACTAGCATTGCAGAGGACTTAACAGTAACATCTACTATCCATTTAACAATCAAGCCAAATAAACATGAGAGCTTATATTTACATTTTTATTTAATTTATCTTGACAGTTTTCTGTTAGTTCAGCATGGATACAGAATGAATACACCATACACAACATATAGGAATAGAGGGACTGAAGTACCTGATTTCCATTGGCTTGGGTCTGTTTTGGTGGTGTTTCTTGAACTGCAGGACTAACTGTAGTAGAGTATGTATAAGCCACCTGTGGAATCAAAATGGTTTGCTTATTGGCAGCGAGAGCTCTCAAGCATGGAACACTGTTCTGGTCAGCAATGGCAACAATTGTAGGTAACTGGGCAGTGACTGTAGGTATAGCAATATTTATGGGATTGGCACTTGGTGGGATTACATTTACAATAGGATCAGAGTCTGTAATACTGTTGTCCTTTTGTGGTTCTTTTTTTGCACAAGTTAAGTTCAAAGGTTCTTCTTGGACAGAATAAACACTGTTCTGGTAAACACTAGTTATGGTAGATCTTTCCAATAGTTCCCCATGTTGCTTTGGTAGCGAAAGGTCAAGAGGTTCAATTTGTGGCTCTTCTTGTACACCCTCTGCTGTGTACGTATAACCCTGTGAATTTCTTGATGAAGATAGGTTTAGTGGCGATGGGGATGGCGTGCTACTGCGTGAACCATTCAGAGTTGATCCCCCTGGTAAAGTCTGAGATTTTGTTGTATTGACAGGATTTTGTGAGTTATTTGTGCTGTTCTGGGGTTCACTTACATTTGTAGTTGCTGCTTGATCATCATTATCTGTGTGACTGCTTAATTTAACTTGTTCAGGAGAAGACGGTGCAGAAGACTGCACAGAAATTTGTCCAGCTTGCATTTTTTCAAACCACTTTTTTACCACATCCAGTGGTAGGTTTACTGAATCTGCTATTTTTGAAAGCTCTTCTGCGCTTGGTTGTGCATTTAATGCATAATACGCTTTTAGGAGCGATAAAAGGTTCTTTAAAGGTGGCTGACCAGGAGATAAGTTATTCTCCCCAGTTTCTGATGGGACAGGGGAGTCAGGCTTCTCAGCTTCTGTTCCACTGGGCTGAGGAAGCTGAGGAGGATTTTTCGTTTCATAGTGCTTTAATTCTTGAAGTGCATTAAGATCTCCTGGACAGTCATCACAAAGAAGACAAGTGCTATCATTAGTCTCTCCTTCAAAGTTCTTATCTTTCTCAGACTTCACTGTAAGATCTTCTGGTAATTTTTCATTTTTGCAACTATTTGTAGGAACAGAGTTTTCTTTTTTCAGATTTTGTGGAACAACCTGAAGTTGACTTGGCTGCTCCAAGCTGTAGTTGATGATAATTTTGGTTGTCCCATCTTGGTCAACCAAAGGAAGACTGATAGCTGAAATGAGGGAATGGCCAGCTTGTTGTATAGATGCATTGCTGATTGTTTCTTGTTCTTTGGACGCAAGATTAGCATGATTGTTTTCCAATACTTGCCGTATTACATTACCATCCACTGCCACTTTAAGTACATTTTGAATGTCACTTAAGTTGATGCTTATGGGAGACACCAGACCTACTGTTGGTAGAACAACAGCTTGCACCACACCCTGAGGAGAACTGGTTGCCTGCAATGGGCTACCACCACTAAAAACCCCATTCTGCAAAGGGGTTGAACAATTAATTCCTGAAGCAACCACTATGGGCTTGAATTCATAATCCACAGGTTCAGTTTTAATTTGGTTAACAGGAAGTTGCTCTTGCAAGGGTTTATTTTCTATCTTTTGTCGTATCTGTGGTCTTGCTGGGCTACCTGGTGATGCAGAAAGGGAAGGGGAGGAGCACTGAGATGTCTTGAGCCCTGACCGGGCTCGACCATTCACGGGCATCAAACCAATACACTTCTTACTGCTTATGTGTGAACTGTATGAACCAGAATGGGAAAAACGTTTCTTGCAGTTTGGGCACTCATATGGCTTCTCTCCTAAAGATAAAAAAAAGAAAAAAACAAACAAAGAAAAAAAAACACACAAAAAAAAAAAAAAAACAAAACAAGAAGAAAAAAAAGCATATGCAGTAGTTTACTAGGTTACAGTGTAACTTCATCGAGCAATAGTAACTAGAAAAGAATACATCAAAATGACATCTCAAAGACTCCTAGGGATAAAGAAACCTTATACAGTGAATTGAACAGTAGGAGTAATTATGTCATCTATAGCTCTGATTCTAGGGTCCTTTAATAAGTTTGTGATCCGCTAGCAGATATAGGATGGAGTCCATATGATCATGATACATTTCACTATTTCCCAGTAACTGTCTACTTATCACATAAACGAGACTATATAATACTTGCAGATTTCATTAAACTCCATTTAAGTAGTACCACTACTAACTTCATAAACTACTTCAGAATGGAAAAAAATTAGAACTAAAGAAAAACTGGCATAAATGCAGGTCGTAAATGTGTAAGGAGCTATGCACATTTTATTGTAGCAAACTCAATACAATATATCCCTATGTTACTACAATACTCGTCAGCTGATAATTAGGCAAAGTTTAAGTAAAAGGAAACCAGACACATATAGAAGACATGTATATTTGTGTTCAGAGATGAATGTCAGGTTAAATTGCCAGGAAGAAGCACACAACTATGCAGTCATTACACTCCTAGTAAGAGTTGGCTTTTCAGGGGATCTGTGCTACAGAGGAAAAGGAAAGAGCCCGAAGAGCTGGCTTGCTTCATACTGAAAAGTATGTTCACTGAGGCTTTCCCACTCACAGGCACAGTGCCAATACCCTCTGGAAATGAAAGGAAGACTATGTTTGCTGAGTGAGGACTTCTAAGTGAGGTGTACTTCATTGCTATTATCATGTCTGAGAAGAAGGGAAAATTTGGCCTAAAAACTTGTTTTCAGACTTTCTGTCAAAGGGTAAATCTGGGTTAAAGACAGAAATTGAGAATCTCTTTTGAGTAACCACATTTAACTTATTGTTATATATTGAAATATATTAGTATGTATTAAATTTCTTATAAATTGGAACTTTCTTATGAATTGAAACCGTTGTGACAGAGTATCAGAATCCTAGACCTGTGTCCTAAGGCTATTTTAATATGATTAGTCTTGAATGATGACAATCACAGCCACAGTAGGAAGCATAGTTCTTATGTCCTGATTATTATCACTTAAAACTTTCTAGCAAGGCTCAATAACATACTGAATGATCTGCAAACATTGAGATAAAACAGACAAGTGAAAAAGGACCAGAAGAATGCCCTCATTTCTTCTGTGACAAGTGAAGTTTTCCTTAACTGTCAGAGCTTAAGCTGCAACTGTAAACCCTCTTCAGTTATTCTATGTATTTCTTGCACACAGCTGAAGGCTGCAGTCAGTTTTTACAGAGTCCCAGAGAAAAAAAGAAATGGAAAACACTAGTATTTTAAACTTAGACTTACAAGACTGATACCGTATCAAAATTATAAAGAGTAAAAAAGGCAACATTAGTACATAATTCAGTTCTTGGTTTATTTACCACTGTGGATTCGTAGGTGCTCCTTTAGGTGATGTTTGTATTTAAAAGCTTTTCCACATTCAGTGCACTTGAATTTTCGATTACCACTGGACTGCGTCACATGTCTCTGTAAGAAAGAATTCATAATTATTGAATAAGACAGCAAGCTGGAAAAACATCTTGTATTTTCACACTGTAACAGAGAAAATGCGATACAAAACTGAAAAGAATCAATCATAATTTTAAGAAACTGAAAGGTGGTATGTGTTATGCATGGAAAAGATACAAATTAGAAGTCAGGTTAAAACTGAGCCATGTGTATCTTCTGAATAAATCTGGTACAGTAAAAAGAAAAGAAAACAAACCAACCCCAAAATATATTTGCCCCCTCTCCTAATTTCAGATGAAGCTTGCATTGACATGTTATGTGAGTAAGAAGTTCCAGGATGCATGCTAATTCTATTTGTAAAATTAAAAAAAAAAAAAGCAAGAAAAACCCCATGCCCACCACCCATAGAATAAGTCACGCAGGACAAAGAAACAAAGCATATAAAAGCCTGTTTAAAGTTTAATCAGTTGCCTTAATTTTTCCATTTACATGCTTCCAGCGCTTACTGTTGGCCTTGGATTCCTCTATGTAATGATGTCACAGGATTGCTCAAGAGAAGATGGCTCAATGACAACAAAGGCACTCTCAGACACAATTAATTCTCAAAATAAATGCAAAAAACTAAATTAAAAGAAATAACAATATGGAGGGATTTCCCAAGTACAAAACATCAGACCTCTTCACTATTTGCATTAAAGCTCTGTGGTTATTTTCGTTATATTTTGCCTTGTGAGAACATTAATTGATAAGCTCCGAATTATTTTTAATTTATCTTTATTTTTATACTAGTTTAAAAAAAGCAAAAGTTAAGACAGACATGTAAATATATGTAGTATAGACGTGATATGTATATGGAAGATAGATCATTTTATCAGAAACTGTATAAATCTATGAATGTGTATTTTTAAAGACAAAAATTACATACATTTTAAATGTTGGAGCAACTTAATGAACTCCAAGATGAAATGGAGGAATTAGAAATTCTTCTGTTCAAACAAACTGTTTATTTAAAAGACCTGTGGCTCCTTTTTAAGTAGAGCTCACTTTGCATGAAGATGCTCTATCACCGTTTGTATACAGCTGCAGATTTTTGGTAACCGGGGCAAGTATTTTCATAAACTCATTAATAGAGCTATTCTTGTACTCTGGGGAAACAGCCTGCCTATGGGCAGCTACCATGAACTGTCTGGCATGCATTAGCTTCCGCTGGTGTGAAAGAGTGGCAGGGAGCTCCTACACCTAATTCTGGTCTACTGTGGTGGGAGCAGATGCTCACCGAGTGCTCAGGCTGTTCCCCGAGTACAGACACAGCAACTGGGGGCTGAGATCTGTGCTGGAGAAGTGGGGATGAATAAAAGGCAGGATGATGCTCCTGTTCTGATTTAGATCTGAGGAACCCCCATCCATGCAGTTTGCTAGATAGAAGTCTGAGCATTCTGCTATGAGATATGTTGTCCAAATTATCAACCCTCCCTGCTGTATACCCTGTCTTCCTTTATATGATACAGATGCTAACAGAAGACGAATTGAAACAAGATAATCTAAATTGCTTACAAGTACTCTAATTTAACAGTTCCCTTGGGATGAGCACTTGGTTAAGCTGCAGTTTTCACCTCTCAGCAGATACTGCTCCCACTCTCCTTGGGGGGGTGGGCTCCTTCCCGCCTCCTCCCAGGCTCTGCAGTGAGGTCTCCACTCTGACTTATCCTGATTAGCACTTGACCTTTATTTCGGGTTTGTCAGCTGTTTTTTGCTAGTCCACATGGCTTTTCAGCTTTGTTTAACTAAGTCCCTTGAAGATGATGTTCTAGATGATTGTGCCTGACTCACTGCAGTTCATTTTAATGATGCAACTCCACTGAGTCTAGAGGACTGTGTCGGGATTTACTTAAGCCTGCAGAGAATCAGTTACTGTGGTTTGACTTGGGATTATACAAGTTAAAGGATCTCAGCATATATACAGCTACTGCAGATGCTGGATTACATAAAAATTCATACTAAATATTAGTGCATGTATTCAGTCTGTCAGAAATATTTCCACTCCAGTCTTTAAAATCCAATGTTCTACTTCCATGGCGTAGAAGCCCAAATTTAACTTATCAAATTTTTAACGAGTTTTCCTGTTTTCCTGGTCATGGCTATAAGCTGCTTTGAACTTTCTGCTAGGCAGTGTTTCCATCTATTTGCCTTACCTTCTTATATTTGTAATTCTTTATTCAGTTTTCTCGCTGTCTGTCCTATACTTTTCTTTTTTATAAATCTGGAACATCCTCAGAATTACTCTCCAGGATCTTCTTTAAAACTGAGAAAACATAACTCTTCTATAAAGTACCATCTTTGATATTCTTTCACCTTCATTTTCTCAGATTCAAATGGTTTTCCCCCTTTCAGTACTGTTAAATCCACATTTTTTGTGCCTCTGATGTGTGATATATTTTTTTTAAAGCACTGCACATAACTGCTGTCTTCTGCTCATTATAGAATTAACCGCAGCATTCAAAGAATACTCCTCTGCATTCCTTTAAGGATTGAAAGAAGAAACATCAGCATTAAGGTCTGTAACTAGTCACTAGTACATCCCTGCATCATTATTTACTGTGCTTAGGAGTAAAATCCACTCTTTTCATACCACAGAATCAAAACTAATTAATGAGTATCATCCAAAATTATTTGGAAGACAGGATTTACAGGTACATCAGGGTTTTTTCACAGATGGTTTGAACATGGTCTTCAAGAACTGCCATTTCTCAGTGGTGTCCATGGCAATACGAAATTTTAACAGAATACCTATGGGTGCTTAGTAAAATGATGAAAATAAAAATAAAACAAATATAAGCAGCACTTATTCATACTTCAACATCTTTCTTGGAGTTTTATATGTGAAAGCAGATGATACATAGGCAGCATTGCCTCCTACCAACCATTAGTGGTGTAGGAGCAGTCAGGGGAGCTGTGAGGGATGACGGGGCCAAGGGAGGGATGAAGGAGAAGGTGCAGGATGGCTCCCAGATCTTTGCTCGAGCAGAAGTAGCTGCAGTTTGGCATATTTCCCCCTTCCTCAGAGAGAGGCACAGTGTGCACATATCTCTTCCACTGCCTTCACTACACTAGGTATTATCTTTGCTCACTGCTTCCTTGTACAAAACAATTACACAGTTGTTACATGCTGGACATTAACCAGCTAACAGTTATCCAAATATACTTTCAGGTGAAGCCCTTTAAGAACAAGACATGAACCATTCTATGATTAAGTTTTGAAGATGCAGTTGTTTAAGATGCACAACCAGGAGGTCTATACTTACTATGGAAAAAGGTTAATTTTCTATTACACGAATGACGTAACCACATACATGTACATGAAGCCAATTTTGAAGACAACAACTTTGTGAAAATAACAAACAAATACATATTTCAAATTTACCAAGTATCTAAACTATTGTAGTTTTGACTCTAGCTATGGCTCTAGAGAAAACTCACACTTAAACAGGTGTAATATTGAGTTCCAGATACTTCATAGAAACAACATTTATCACATGCGATTGTGCCTTCAAAAGTGTAAACCCATTAAAATATATCTGCAGGAAAACAATTTAAGCTTCCTTTTGTAGCAATTCTTCTGAGATTGTTTACTCACTTGGTATTTTTTAGCTATTCATTCAAACTACATGTAAATATGGGAAAGGCTTCTAGCCTCTCCAACTACTTTATTCTTCTGCTTTTAGGCTTCTAGTTGGAAGATCTGAAAATAAATGTGGTAGCTCACAAAAAAGCATTATACAAGAAGCATTCATAGATTTAATAGTTAGAAATATAAGATATGTAAAATATAAGATGATAGTAAATTTAAAGTGGAAGACAAGCCGATAAGATAGCAAGACAGAAATTAATTTTTAATGGGAAATATATTTGCATAAACAAGAACTGCCACACCAGAATATGCTGACAGGGTTACTCCAAACCCTGTGAGATAGTAAAATCCCTGCAGTAGGATGGCCAATACTTCTTGTAAGAATTTTTCCTATTTAACTTACCCATGAAGGCAAACAGGTATAAAAATGTGTAACAAATGTGTAAGTCTGTTAAATTCCTGGACTTAGTGATACTTTGTAGAATGGAGGTTAATACACAATGTGTAAAAAAGTATCTCCTTTACTGTGTTACTGCCTTTCAGTTTAATGAAAGATCTCCGTTTGAAGCTGCAAGAAATATTGAAGTACCTTTCCCTTTACATTTATTATTCACTGTTTTGCATCTTCCTGTTTTCTGATTGAAAACCTGTGTCTTTTTTACTTGCCTAATTCCTGACTGTTTCAGTGAGTTTCAGTTGGTTTCTGAGCCTCAGAAAACCTCTGATAAGCTATGGAAGCATGTAATTGGGGATGGATGATAAGAAATTGTGGGGATAAAAGAACAAAAGAAAAAGAGGGAGAGTGGAACACAATCTCAGGACCTTCCATAGTGATGAGATGGGTAACTCCTGGAAGGCATCTCAGGGAACCAAGCCGTCGGGGTCAGCCCATGAACCAGTGAAAACAAGGCTGTAGTATCTTTAGCCTTTTTTGTTGCTTTATTTAGTGCTGAAACGTTGTATTTTATGAACAAATTATTTATATATTGTCTTACAGCATGGACTGCATTTAAAAGCTGTATCTCACAGTTCAAGCAAATGAATTTACAAAAAAAAAAAAAAGTAGTATTTCTCTAAAGATTTGAGATTAAATTTGAGTCACAATTTTTATGTAATGTTCGCCAATGAACAGAAAAAACCTAATTACCTATATAAATGCAATAAAGCACTTCTGAAAACCAAATTTAAACCCAACCATACTGCCTAGGTGAATGAAAACACAGGAATTCAGATCTCATCATTTGACAGATATGGAAAAAGCCTGACTTCATCAGCAAGTTTAAGTGCATGCTCTGGGAATGGGACTTCAGCACACAGATAATCTGATGTGAACAGCTGACTTGCTCTGTACATTTTTGCTCACATAACAAATCACAGCATAGTTACAGAGGGTGATAAATCTTTAATTCAAATGCCACTTACTTGATCTCTTCCTGATTTGTGTGACGTCATGTGGCGGTCGAGCTGCGTTCTGTACGCAAACGTGTAACTGCACAAGGAGCAACTAAAGTTATCTTCATTTTTTTCATGGCGATATTTAATGTGTTCCTTCAGAGAGGTAAAACGCTTGTACCCTCGATCGCAATATGGGCAAGTAAGCAGTTGGGAAAATGCATCAGGTGTTCCTACACAGGACAGGCAATACACCGTATTTAAATAAATGTAAGTTCCAAACTTATTACTATCAACATACATACTTTACATTTACATATATAACTGTAAGAAAACATGCAGCTGCTAGGAACTCCATCTGTTTTAGAAAAGGACTAATGATTTTTTTTTTTTTTTCCCCACAGGTATTATGTTACTAACTACAGTACAACATGGTTGCCCCAGTGTACACTGGAGAGAGTCAGCACAATATGATTACCCAAAACTGCACCTCTCAGTGAGTCTGTTGGGCTTCCCAATACATTACTAGAGCTTCTATATATGTATTTCTGTTTAAAAAGTAGTCTGAAAATTGTGAAACATGGTTTAAGATCTAGCTATTTTTGCAGATCTGGTTAGCTCAATCACAGAAATCCTCAAATCCTGGTTAGAAATGTAAGTTTGTCACTGAAACACCTAATAGTCATCCTGTTTTCAACTCCTGAGGAATAAATAATATTTGCAAACTGCAGAGAATATTTTTTGTTTTCTTTTTACCTAACACAGAATTGTAAGTGAAAAGAGAAATGAAAAAAAAAATTAGAAATGTGGTTTATAATTCTTATACCTGGACCTTTTGGAATGGGTCCAGAGGAGGGCCATAAAGATGATCAGGGGGCTGGAGCACCTCTCCTGTGAGGACAGGCTGAGAGAGTTGGAGTTGTTCAGCTTAGAGAAAAAGAAGGCTTCAGGGAGACCTTATAGCGGCCTTCCAGTACTTAAAGGGGGCTACAGGGAAGCTGGGGAAGGACTTTTTAATAGCAACAGTGCAAGGTGTAATGGTTATAAACTAACAGAGGGTAGATTCAGACTAGATATAAGGAAGATTTTTTTTTTTTTATGGTGAAATACTGGAACAGGCTGCCGAGAGAGGTGGTAGATGTCACATCCCTGGAAACATTCAAGGTGAGGTTGGATGGGGCTCTGAGCAACCTGATCTATTTGAAGATGTCCCTGCTTACTGCAGGGGGTTTGGACTAGATAATCTTTAAAGGTCCCTTCTAACCCAAACTATTCTATGATTCTATGATACACAGATATGTACCTGTTAGTAAGACATACTGTCTGAGTGACAGAAAGGAGAGAGAGCAAATGTAAGGCCGTAAGTATGATTCTAATGTGATTATGGGATCTATTCTGCTCACTTTCATGAAGTTACTTCTGTGACAGTACAGGACAAATCAGATTGAAGCTGAATATTAATTTCACAAGTCCATTTCTGAAAAGTCACCATTTATGAAGTTTTAACTCCATCTCTTTTTATTAGCATATATTTATCTCCCATTTATAGTAACAATCTATCTTTGAAAAGTTAATTTTTTAAAGGATTGAAAACAAAAATCTTTCTTTCTATATTTATAAAGGTGTGTTTAAATAAATGTGGGCTTTGCTGTATTTGATCAAACTATCAAGTTATGAGGTGTGATATCCTCCAATGACGATGCTACCCTTCCATGCTTCAAGAGAAACGGGAAGCAAATTTTGCAAGGATGCACCTATGCAGTGCACTGAGTGAGAGCAGGAGAGGAAGGTGGAACATCTTTACTGATTACCATTTTATGTTCTGAAGCACAAGGGGGAAATTTGTACGCACTGTCATTTGAAGTTGCAGAACTATAACCATTATTAATACTCATAAAATTAACCAGTACTTTAGGAAGTACTTCTGAACTATTTATCTTCATGGCCTCTTCCAGCAGTTAGCACCACAGATAGATTATATGCTCTATAAAGTAGCAATTTGTTCTGTTTGTCTGGAGTTTACTGACTTTATTTTTACTGAACGTGCCATTGTTCTTGAAACAGTGAAAAGGAAAAGAGGAGTCAGACTAGTTTTCAGTACTAAAAGCCAACACCTTCTCTGTCATATAGGTTCTTTTACACTTGTTATGGTAACAGGCAAGGTAACAGTTGTATTGCACTCGGTTTTGTGTTGTTCTATCCCTTTTCTGCTTTTTCTGGATTAGCTGGATTGTCCAAAAATGAACCTGTCCTCACATGTGTAGACACAGTATGCTTCCCTTCAATTCTCTTTTTTCCATCTACAACTCAATTCACCTGACATAAAGAATACTCCATTTCAGCACAAATACAACTCAGTGGAAATGTCAGAAGCATGTTAACTTAAATGCTGTTTCTGTGGGAACAATTGGCAAAATGGCAATGGTTTCCCAAAGCCACTAAAGACTCTAATTCTCTGTCGGTTCTCTTGTGCAGTCCCTCAGTTTGGAAGCATTTATCTTTAGCAAATATCACTATATTTTTGGCTTTATTGTTCAGCATCATGATTTTCAGAATACCTCCCTGTGAATTTACTGGGCTATGTCCAATTTAAATTATTAATACAAGTGTGTATTCTTAATGATTACATGGAAATCATATTCCAAGGCTGTAAAACTATTCTTAATAATCTCTGCCAGTGCAACTACAAATTTAAATCTTAAATTTATTAAATTGTAATTTTAAAAATGCTACTGTTGAGCAAGTATCTTGAATTTTGCAAAACTTGTTAAATAAACCACAAATTATTAGCAATTCAGGTCCTATTTTTGTATGTAAATAGGCATGTACACAGTTTTAATTTCTCAAATATTTTAATTTATTTATTTGTTTTTGCTAAAGTCTCTAATAACATAAAATCTCTGGAAAAGCAGAACAAAACTCTTAGCATTACCCCTTTCACTGCTCTCCCTTGGACTTCAACAGAGCTACAATGTAATACAGCTACAATGACACTTTTTGTTCAATTATGTACATTTTTTTAAATGACTGGAACACAACAACTCCTTTACCATTTATGTAGGATGTTACTTTCTTTTGAAAAATCTTAAATATTCCAATAAGGGAACACAATCTGGTTGAAACTGCAGTTATCACAGGTTATGAAAGCTGAACACTTCAGAAAGCAGCACAGAATGCAAAACCAATCTGAACAGGTTTTGCCTTCAAATATTTCATGACGAAGATGCCTTCAATGTTTCACGATGAAGAAATGAATAAAGAATGACTTCTCACTTGGAAGAACATCTTAAACATGAAACTTCCTTAGAGAAAAAAACATACCTACTTAAAAATAACAACAGGTCATAATTTTTTTCACATAAATGTTTTTGTATAAACAATGTTTCTTTTTTCTCCACTGCTGACTTTTCAGGAAAAAAGAAAAAAAGCCTGTCATAGATTGACTACCTAATAAAAGAACTATCTAATAGATCCTTTTGGGTGTTTTGTTTAGAAATCTAAAAAGAAAAGTAACATGTTGTAACTCCCCCTAAGTTATTCTTGCATAAAACCATACTATCTTGCGTCATTTCATCATATTTAATACATTTGTTCTGTTCTTTCATATAATGCTACTGAATGGATTTCTGAAAACTTCCGTGCCGCCCCCTCCCCTCCCCTAAATTACACGTGTATGCATTGTTGTCTTTGAAAATACAACATAACTTCTGGCTCATATAGTACAATTTATTTCCTAAGAACCAAACCGGTGGCATATTTACCATTTTCATCCTGACCACTAGCTTCTGGAGTGCCTTGTCTCTGGTCCTCCTCAGGTGCTTCAGGGTAAATAACAGCTGTATCTTCTTGTTGAAGGAATTCTTCAACATTAGGGTCATGGTTTTGTTCATTTTCTGCATCAGAATCACATTCATCTTCTTTTACTAAGAGTGAAAAACAAGATAGGACATACGAAATTAAGAGCTTAAAAAGAACACAAATGAGATTCACATTGCCAAATCGCCCTCTATCCAGGCATTTCAAAACTCTTTACAAGTATTAGAATAGTTCAGCCCTTTAAAATGCAGGAATATGACAAGTTTGAAAACAGAGAACCAGTGGCATAATGACATTTACAATTTTGACTAAAACTAAAGTTTGCCTCTTCAGCTCAGTGCATTTTTATCATTTTAGATATAGCTGTTCCCCTCAACTTCCCTAAAAATCTTAAATGCAACATTAATTATGATTTAGCCCTTGTAGTTTAAAGGCCAACTTACTGTCTTGGCTCCTGTTTGCAGAAGTAAATTTGTTGCCTTCAAGACATAATTTTGAATATTATTTAAGACTTGTTCATTAGTGCAAGTCCAGAAGATATCTGAACTCTGAATAACAAGTTGGCTGGATGAAATGCAGCAAACTTGAACTTTGATTGCCTTGTTCTCTGGTGTTGGAAATGGCTATCAAAAAGGTTTCAGATCTACTTAACATCCTTCAACTTTTTCCATTTTAAAACTTAAGAACACAATCAACAACTGTATTTCAAAGCTAACAAATAATAAATTAAATATTTTACTTAATGCTTGCAAGATAAATATTTGCTACCAAGTATTTCTCTAAATACATTGTTCATAGAGTTTACTTTTACCATAGCAGAACAGTCTGTGAGAGCTCTGCCTGCCGCACACTAAATCATGACAGTTCTCCTCCACTATTAATAATGTGAGGTATAGTTTTAATAGGAAGGAGAAGTTTTATGATTCATCTCTCAGTATGAAGTCATATACTCAATTTACAATTTGACAATTTTTTTATGACATAAGGCAGTCTCTTACATATAGACTGTAATGCAGTACATAATGTAGTTCTCCATACTTGTTTGAAGAGATCAGACTTTATAGTAACTTAAAGCAACGCGTGAAATTACAGTTGTAAAATACCAATGTTTAGTTTGTTTTGTTGTTTAAATAAGGCTTACCCTGATAATATTTAACCATTTAGAGTTAAGGGTGTTAAAAAAGAGAAATATATAAAAATCTTTTAAAAAGCTGGATGAACTATATGTTACATTTTCTGACAACCATAGAAATAATAAACTAACAAAGCATCTGGTTTTGTTTGGTTCTGAAACTAAAGTGCACACTTTATTTTGCCTTCTGTATAATCAGTACAGACAGAGGAGTTGATAAGATACAGTATTAGCTTAAGTTTATTTTGGTATATGTCTTATTAGTTTAAAACACTATCTATTGACCTGTACTTGTATTCTATTCAACTACAAGTAAGATGAGCGGTATTCCTTCTTTTGCTCCAAGAAGACATGGTGCTGCAGAGGACTGCTCTGTCTCACTGGTCAGCTACGCCTCTGGACACAGGACCTCTGAAAGGAGCCCAGGTTATTCTTCCTCGGCTAAAACACTGTTTATAAATTAAGACCTCTAGCATGGATGAGCAAGGCAGTTTATAAAGAGAGGTGGAAGAATTAAAAAAATTTCAGAAGGATACTCACCTAGCCAAAATTCAATAGCACTTTATGAATAAGGGACTCAGATTAACAAAGAAATACCTGTACATCCAACTTCATCTGTCTGAGCTTCAGGCCCCAGGATTTCCTTTGTTTCTTTTCCAGCTGAAGTAATACATTTCACAAAAAGAAGAATGAATATTAAAAAAAAAAAAACCAAACAAAACAAACAACCCAAAAAAGCACCACACACACAACTTAATATACTTATTTTTTCAGCAATTTTTTCCATTTCTTTATTGTTTAGAAGAACTGCATTCAAACACAATATTAGTTCAAAAATATAGATTGCGTATTATTTCAGCAGTGTGTAATCAGTTGAACCACAAAGATATTCCACAGTTAAAGAAGCAAAATCTTAAAAGGAAGTAATACTAAACACTAACCATTATTTGAAGAGAGGTAAAGACAGGGACTGTGGGTTCCTCCAGCAAATACAGAATCAGCTACTTCAATAACCCTGCCTACAAATGCAGCTGTTTTATACACTGGAATATTATTTCCAGAAACCAGAGTATCATAAACCAAATAGGTTTACATTATTTTCTCCAATTAGCAGTTTTCAGAACTGATTGATAATTTGCTGGTAATGTCTGCACACAAATACTTAGTGCATTCTCTTTCTTATAAATCATCTATAAACCACTTACAGACTGCTATTGCTTACACAAACAAGGATTTTAAACGCATGCTCCCCACTTCAGATCAACTGTGCACTACAAAAATGTTTCACATATCAATTCCAACACTGAGTATGAGTTTGCAGGTACCAGACATCTGCAGAACTATTGCTGGGGAGCCTACCTGCCTCCGAAGCTTCACCAGCTCCTGCTGACCTGCAGCATTCAAGGATGCAGCATGGAAGCTTTAACTCACTACAGGTTGTTGGTTTAAATCAGTATGGGGCCCAAGTTGTTCCTAATTTATGACTGTTGGGTAGCCTGGACTGGAAAGTTCCCATTGGGAAGGCCACTGCTGCCATTTCTGTCAGTGTGTGGCTTATGGCAGGAGTGCATAGGAAAGCTATGTTGGTTGTTTTGCTCCTTTATCAGATATGCTCTGATGCTATGCTAATATATATGAAAACAAAGCATAGTTTTATTATGGAAACTTTAGATACCTCAGAGCTACACTGCAGAAGACTTGCATGATACAGAAGGTTAGATCACACAACTGCTATCACCTGAAGTGGCAACTGTTATACTTTTATTTACCTTACTTCACTCTACTTCAGTGCAGGGAAATAATTTGGTTTAGCTTGTCAAAACCCCCAAACATTCCAGCTTTTTAATTACAGGAGAAACTAATTTCTCCTTTATGTGGAAGATGATAAATTGTAGGAGAACTTTAAGGTCTCAGATAATACCAGCTTCCTCAGAGGAAAAGATTGTTAATTCTGTCTACTTTGATAAAAATCCCACAGACCTAAAATATCTGCAGATAGTCACAAACAAGAAATATGCTTAAAAGGAAACTGTTAACTGTTAAATCTTACTTTAATTGTCATCTGAAAAAAAAAAAAAAACAACAAGCAGTCCATACTTTATTGGTCAATACTGGATTGTGAACCAATTATATTTTTGGCACATGATACCACAGGCTTGGTTCAGAATTTGTAAGATGGATGATTGCATGCAATGCAAATTTATATCAAAAAGTTAATTTCTTAAAAACACTCATGATGCAAACCCACTATTTTTCTTTAAAAAGGGTTTGTGATTTTTCTCCTTTATGAAATAGGCTCTGTGGAAGAGGTTTTTATATTTTAATAAAAACTTACTGTTTTTACTCATAGAAATTTAAATTATAGTGTCTAGCAAATTTCATTGGCTATGGTGCAAATAAAAGCTATGCTTCCCAAGGGAATGTCAAGGAATTTATGGCATTATAGATTTATCCCAGTGAAGTTAAAACTCTCAATTCTAATAATTATAACCTCTGTTTGGTACTGTCTCTTCCCAATATCTAAAAGTGGGGTATATAAGACAGAGAGAAGACCTTTACCACAGGGGATGATCTTCCTTAGTACTGTAGGAATAATTAATAAGTTGAAAAATGTTAAGCTGAGCTCTATCTTTATAGCTATGTATGGCCCACATAGGAAGGCAACTTTGCAGTTGTGCCCTCAGACGCCCAGTTGCCATGCTGCAAATACAGCTTCTGGGAAGCAATGGAAAGGGAAGCAATGATGGGGGAACAGATCTTAAGACACTGTTCCACCATGTAGAAGTCACAGCTCTGAATTCCAGAAGAAATTTGAGCTACCTGCTGAATGACTCCTTAAATACAGGTCCCCACGAACAGCATCTAGGGCATAAATATCCATCTTGGCATTACATCTGGGCAGACCAGATAATTGCAAAACATGTTCTTGGACTTCTGTATCTCATTATGGCTTCTGAGCAGCTGCTTAGAGATACTGTGGGACTTCACTAAGGTTAAATATTAATGAATTTCAGATCACAGGCAACAGCATCTACTAGCAGTGAACATGCATGACACAATCACTGTGTCATAGGCTGACTGTAAAGATCTCTGCATGATCAAATTTAAACCACTAGCAAAATGGAAATTTTGGTTGTAGGCAGAAAGACAAACTTCACTAAAATTTCCACTGCAGTCTTATCTTCAAAGGGATTAAATTCCAAAGCCCATCAAAAGAGTTTCTAATTCAAATTATTTAGAGCTAATTTTCTGATATGCATGTCACAAGCACTGTTTACAGCTTACAGTACTGCCTGGATGTTTGCATCTGAGTGAAAATTTGATCAAAAAGATGTCACACATTTTTAGCCTTCCTCCCAAATGAAATCAATACAAAATAGTGCAGCAACCTTCCTCAGCAACCCACCACACTGAAAGAAAACCATCAATCTTACAGCACATAGGCTCAACCTAAAATGTTGAGAGTTAAAGGACTTTCTGAGTGCCAGGAAGAGCTTAAACATAAAACATAACTTCATTAATTGTTAAAGGTTATTTCAAGATCTGGACAATTTTTTAAAATTTTCAAATTTTCAAAGATACCTTTGTTCCAGGTCTGGGATGTCTAGATATGCTAAATACTTATAATACATAATAATGCTTTTTAAGTGTATTAATATAATAAATCAATAAGTTTAACATTTGCTTTTTTTTTTTTTTAAATTATAGCATAGGTTTTACTTTAAAGCAAAAAAAAAATCATGTTACAGAATCATTGCACACATGAATGCTGGCACACTGCCAACAACTTGTGCAGGATACACGTGGTTCATTTTTTCAAACCCATATGACTGTTTCAGTTAAACCTCTTGAGATACACACCTTATATTTAAAACACCTGCTCTGAAGGTCTTTTAGAAATTCAGTTAGAATGACTGGAAACGGAAGGAAACTAATCTGATAAAAAAATGTTACGTGTGTTGTTTCTATTCTTGGGCATTCGTGAGCAGAATAAATATGTAAAAAACTCATTCTGTCAAGTTCAGCTAAACCCAGGAACTTTCGGTACTACTTTACCAGTGATACACAACTTACAAAAGGTGCTGCAGTGTATGTTTTTTAAAAATAACCACCACTCCTGAAGATGGTATTAGTGTTGCATGGACTCCAGTACCTTTCCTTGTATGAGAGAGATCATGTATTCAATACCTCTTCTCTTCAGATTTCTAATGTGTAACCAACACTGATAAGATTTAACTCACACCTTTGCTTCTAGGAAGGCTATAAAAAAGTAAATAGTTCTTTACCATAGCAAATCAAAGCTCCATAAAACCTAATGTAGCCTTCATTTTTCTCATGTAGTCTTTGCCAGAAATTCAAACAATTTATTTAAAAAAAAAAACTTACTATCAAATAAGAAACCCTCCAGACTACTACAAAAGAGACTACAGAATACATCATCTTTACTGAAGAAATTTACAGTAGTTTGGGCAAGCCTGTATGGCAACTGTTTAATCTTTTGTCTGTCTAAACACTGATGAAATCCTGTCTTCAGCAGCAGTGACCAAGTCAGGGAAAACATTGCCAACATTGCGTTTCTAAAATAGCAGTAGAATTTGGTTTAAATGCTGAACTGGCAAACAAATTTTAAAAGGTTAAAAATTGTACATTTGAAATAAGGAGTCAAAAAACATGTCATCACATGTCTGGAGCTCTGAAAAACCCCAGAAACTTGTCTGAGGCAAGACTATGTGTCATGATTACCTGTAAGTACATCTCCAGGAAACATTCAGTCCAAAGGGTCTTGACCCAGCACCCTCTGTGAGCCAGTGCTCTTCACTGACTATTTCGGGTTTCCTACACCTATGCTTGAAGGGTTTAAGAAACAGTCTACACACAGCCCATTTTTATGTAACTGCAATTCCTGATAGATATAGCCTATGGTAGAGCAAAGATATTACAGAACTAAGAAAATTACCTACTTAGTAATTTAGCTCCAAAATACTAATTTCCCTGCACAGCATACCTTGGCAATAGCAGCTATGTAAAAACAGGCTGAGTTGATGCTATTCTTTGAACACTCAGCTGCTTGCTCTCAGCTGGATTGCAGTTAGGGACCATATGACTGCTTTCCATTTATTTAGATGTGAGGTCATACAATTTGTCTTAAACCACCAGTTTTAACAAGGTGGATGCTAAAAAATTGCATCTGGAGTTCAGACACAAACAGGGATATGCCGGAAAATACTCTGCATCTTCCAGGGGATTAAGGCCAAATTCCATAATAAATTCCACTAATTTATGCATTTATCTCTATTTGGCTCAAATGTAAGCATGCTGTGTGATACTACGAAACTTGGTATCTGATTCCACACTAAAAAAGGCCCATTTCCTGATTGCTTTAAATTTTCAGCTTCTAAAGCTTCTGCATAATATGTACAGCATTTATCGCCTTCCAGTGTTTTCGAAATACAGATTCATTATGAGTAAGATAGCCAATTCTAAAACTAGTAATCTAAAAATTATTTTTTTCTGGCTGTATTTTAGAAGGGAAAAGGCAGAAGCAGATCACAGGGAGAAACTTATATTTGAACGCTATTTTGTTTCATGTTTTTGGCTTACTGCTTACCCCTCAAGCAGAGCAAACCCTGAACCTTACCAGGAGCTATGGCAAAGACCTGCCATGCAAAAAGACTTGGAAAAACTAAACGCAAGTAACTAGTTTCTGATTGCCCTTAAGAGTGCTGCATCTACAGATTTGAAGCTCCTGTTTAACAATGCCAATGGAATGAATGCACCTCTGAATCTGCCTCAAACATGAAATAAAGAACATAAAATATATTACAATAAATGTTAAAATCCCTATTTTTTGTTTATCAATATTATATGCTATTTCAGTAACAAAGTGACCAAAAAAATTTCTATCGAATCTTCTTTTAGAAACCTTTCTCTACACAGGATCATCAGTGAAAATGCACGTACCTTCATCTTCCCAGCAACTGTTTGTGCTCCCTTCTCTTTCACTGTTTTCTGGTAATACTGTATGGTCTGTTGGCAAGTCATCTTCTGGCACACTAGCATCACAGTCTGCTGCATCAGTTACACTTTCTTCTTCCACTATATGCAACTTATCTTCATCATCTGAATCTGAGTTTGCTTCTACCACGTTATTATAATTGGTGACTGTGGACAGATAAAAAACAAAATACTGATCAATATACTCTTAATTTACGGCATGGAGATCCAAAGCTTTCAGAACTGTGGCCAGATGCTCTATCTGGGGCATCTCTATGGAGTCACATTATTATTTCTTCTTTCCACATGGGGATGGCAGCGGCTTGTGAGCACCTGGATGTAACAGCAGCACACAAGGAGACATGTGACAGCTGCTGGGCTTCCACCACTCCTCAGAACCATGATACCTCTCACTTCTGCACACTCAGCCTAAGACTGCACAAGACAAGGCAGTGGACAACTCCAGAGTTGTCTTCTGGACCACACTGAAACATCAGGCTTCCAACTGGACCACTCCAAATTGGATACCAGCATTATGTATGATTCCTTTAAGAATATTATAGCCTGGTTAGCAGTCTGTGAAACACTGAATACTGATAAACAACATCTTGTTACAGACACATATAATGAGGATGGGCTGTATGAGTATAGCAACCAGTGGGGTACAGAAGGAACAGAACTGTAGGGAAACAGCTGGCACTGAACACCAAGTGATCCCACGCTGGGCACACGCCAGAGAGGGAAGCTCTTGTCTGGCCCCACTGAGCAAGCCCTTGTCTGTGGTTATGCACGTTAGCTGTGCTCACCCAGTCCATCTTCTCCCTGGCTTTTCTTATAACTGATGCCACCTCCATGCTCCACGTACGTGAATCAAGGAGCAATAAATGGGAACAATAAGGAGATTTGATTCAGGAGGGCTAAAGTGCTCCTGATCCAAGCTAAAATGCTCCTGTAGTTACATCCGAAGATCACACTGAAGACTCAGCAGGAGATCAAACTAAAGACTCGGCAGGATGAATGTGAAAGGAAAAATCTGAAGTGACTTAGAAAGGAAATATCACGTAACATATTCCCCAGCTACCATGAAATGGTAATAACTATACTTTTTCAGCCTGGAGAACATATTGTAAAAGTCTTGTGGACGAAGGATTACATAATGATATATATGTTTCTGTCATACGGGAGCAGATTATTATTAGAATATTCTTCATTTGTAAGCACAAAAGATCAGTTATGGCCATTTAAACTTAAAATGTAAAGATTACGTATTAAGAAAAAAATTACTTTCACAATCTGTTGAAATGTCTTGTTACTCACACTGAAGTTAAACTATTAAATATTTATATTTGTGTACTACTTCTTCACTGCCAAGTTTGAATGTCTTACTGAAATGCTTCAAAATACAGTTTAAGAAAGAGAATAAATTTATCCATGAATAAACTAACAAGATTTGTCCTTACTGCAGTACTCCTTCAGTGGTTATCAGAATCATACCTGGGAGGCACATAATTACGCTACTTTATAATACCTGCATCCTGTCACTGTTAGCATATGAGAAGCCAGACTGATTCTTTCATGTGAAATCCTGCCTATTAAGGTAGATAAATAGCAAACTGTACTCATGGTCTTCAGAAGTTTTTTGTTTTGTTTGGGGTATTTTTTCGTGTGTGTGTGGGGTTTTTTTTGTGTTTTTTTTTTTGTTTTTTTTTTTTTTTTTCTGTTTTAAAGTAGATATTCTAGTCATGTAAAAATGCATTTAAGCAGGGAAAGTAACATTATGAACTGTCAGGCTACTATCCCATTTCTTACCAATACAAGAGAAAAATGTCTCATCTAGAATATGCATAAGCAAGACAAAAGAGCCTTCTGAGTTTGAAACAACTATTCCATGTTTCCATATTTTATACACCACATTATATGAAAAATATAGTAGCACCTCACTATTTATGGTATTGACCTTTTGTAAGACAACAAATTTAGCCAAACTGCCTAACTACTACTATCTGGTCCATTTCAATCGACAAATTGATTTTCACTTTCTATTCTGCAACTGATTTTGCAAAGTAAAATTGGTGCTGTAAGGAATGCTGTAAAATTGTGTGAAAGAGAAGACATACATGTATTCCCTCACCAAAGCAGAAGAGATTCATGAATTATTTTGCCTGAGAAATGGTTAATGCAACTTTAAGAAAAGTGTAAGAACAGCTAATAAAACAGGAGGAAATGGAAAAATTATCTTAGCCTGTTGTCTTAACTGGGTTTTATTGTGATGCTTAGATATAGAGGTTTATTAAAATAAAACACCAGTGTATTTACATGTGTTAGTAAGAGCAGGGATCAAAATTTATAGGCCTATGTTCAGTAATGTAGATAATGAATACTGGATTTTTTTTAAATAAAATTCCTGTTTAGTTTGCAAAATTATGTAGAATCCCTTATTTTAGAATTAAGAGTGGTTTTTACAGAAAATGAAAATAAAATCAGAAAGTTTGTTCTGAAGAGTTACACTTACAGAGAAAAAATATCTTTTCCTCATCATATATTTTTTGGTTTTAAATAGAATCTATTCATTATGGGTCTAGTTATCTTGAAACATTTTCATACATTCTCACTATGTTCACCTGTGCTAACTCTGCACAACTTAAAACCTCCTCCTTCCTCATGAAAAGTGAGGAATAAATGGTCTTTGGTATTTCAGTTTCTTCCACCAAAGATCAGTTGTCAACAAGGCAACACAATAAAATCAGCAAGAAATCTGGCTCTAACATTCCTGCTTCCTCTTACAAAGAGCTTTGAGGGAAATAAACTGCCAAACCTGCATCTAAATGGGCTCAGCACATTTAGGATGGCCAGGCAGCCCACGCCAAATGCAGCAGAAAGTTGAACACTTAAAATGATGGAAACGTCCATCTATCTAGACACAATTCTAACTAAATGATTACACGCTGTTTTTCCTCTACAGGATCCTTGCCTCTTCTAGTGCAGTGATGGAAAATACACAGGGAACTCTCAGTTTTATGGAGTGAATTGAATATCTGTAGGATCCTGCTTCACTTTTTCAGATTGCAAAGTGATTGCTCATTCTTTTTATCACCACCAGCCAGCAGTGTTCCCAAAAGCCTCACTTATAGAATGTTAGCCCAAATGAGATTCCGCATTATAAATTATATATATTGTAGAAGATATTATATATATTTATAGACAATATAGTATAACTATATATTACATAATTATATGATTATAAATTATATATAATTTCCCTACGTGGCATCCATCAGGAATGCTTCAAAACATAAAATTAACTGAACCATAGTAGGGTGATGGTATCTCCATTTTATGGAGAAGAAAGTGGCTACTTAGAAAACAGAGGATTTGTTTGTAAATCCTGACAATGCCATGTCAGCGTAAGGTATTTTGGGCCATACTTTTCAGAGGACTTTGCATTTTTACAGCATTTTATATATTCAAAGCAGACTTGCATTCATTTCAAATGCAGCTGTGCTCAGAACCCAGGTACCTTGGCCTGCATGCCACAGCAACTAGAAACACAGAGATCACCTCCAAAGTAAGTGACCTTCCAGAATCACATAACTCCTTGAAATAATGAGAATAAAATCCAGTCTTTCAGTGGAGCTTTCAAATGCTTTAGAGAGCGTGCTTTTGATTCTTACAGTCCTCTACTTAAATTACTACGCTTTCCAGCAATTAAGGCAAGGGTTCTGAAGGCAACAGCTTTCTTTAATAAACACCCCTGATTCATTCTCTGGGCACCATTCCTCCTGTGAAAAAATTATGTGATCACATAATTAAAGATCTTATCATTATGCATACATGCAAGGGACAAATTAAAACAGTCTGAACAATCTTCATTCTGACATTTTCCAACTTTTTTTGAATATTCAACCTTCAAAGTCAAGTGTTTGATTTCAAAGAACGTATTCATATTCTTTAATAGAAATGATGGGGAAAAAACAATCAAGCCCTGTAATGTACGGTATTTTTAGCTAATTAAAAGTAAAATCCCATTACATGGTACCATACTGATGCCTCCATGGCTGCAAAGCTTTAGCAATGCAGATCTGCTCCAGGTGCCTATGAGACTAAGGGGTGGTAGTAGCAGGCTATGTTCATTTGCTTCAGAGGTGTCTGGCTACATGTTTCACAGCTCTTTGAAGACATTAAAGAAACCCTGGAACTACAGCACCCAGTATCCAACTCCAGGGGAAACCGTCCTCACCCTCTCCCTTCTCCAGTTCAATCCTAGAGCAAGATTTAGACCTTCCATATCTGCACATCATTTTGAATGTTTTCTCCTCTCGTCCTTGATGTTCCCTCAGAATAGCCACCACTGAAAGAAGAGGAGAACAAGCTCCTAAGCCTTGCTAGATGCCTGGCACCACAATAACTGCTGAAGTTGGGAGGAATATATTTAGTTAAACCTTTCTGGATAGAGATTGAAATATATTTAATAGAAAAGCAATATGTAGACACTACTGCTTACAACCTGAAAGAAACGCAATTGAATATATGTAGTGATGACTTCAAGTGGCTTCTAATTGGGCCAAATATTCCATGCAGAAAATAAAAAACATATGTAAAATCTTACTTAGAAAAAAAGTTAGAGCTTTCTGATGAAGTAACTACAAATATTTCAAACTTCAGTAATATTTACTTTTAGTTAATATAATTTGAAAGTAGCAACTACCTCAACAAAATGATTCAGCCTGGATCACAGAAAACTGGCACAAGCAGCAATCAATGTCTCCATGATGAGACACTGCTCTGTGAAAATCAAGGACGGCTAGAGAGGTTATGTCAGGCTTAGTCATCACTGCTCCAGGGACGGCCATCAGCAGCAGGGGAGAAGAAGCAGACCACTGATGAGAATCTTATCTTTAGCTGTAAAAGCTATGTCTGACACAGATCATGAACCATGGCTATGAGCCTCTGAAAACAGGTCACCAGACAAGCATATATGATGTGTAACAGACATATGAGCCTATTCAGTCCACCATATAGTATGTAACCTTTGTGTAAACATGTATATAATTATATTAAACACTTCCATTATTAGTTTCAGCTTTACTTTCACAGATTGATAAAGGCCCCACTTTTGACATATGTACTACAAATGGCACTGAAGAGTAAATATTTATTCAATAATAATT